CTAGACCCACAAATTTATATAGTATCTCAGTTGGTTACTAAATAATAGACAACAACAAATTTATATAGTATCTCAATGTGGGAAGATATGACCCATGCAAATGGGGGACTAATTCAATTGTTAGATAATGAAAAATATAAGTAATTCCAGGGATGTGTAAATCACCCCAACATATTATATGAATGGCCAACACTTTTCTTTTATTACTTTAATGGGCTAGGAAAAATGCATTTTGCAATATTGAAAACACAATACACTCTAGGACAAAGGCAATGGACTATATTCTAAACATTTTAATCAACCAAAAATCTTAATCCAAAAAAACATAATTGAACAGTCAAAAGCGTTCGAAATCTGTAGGTTCCAAAAGTGTTATCGGGATAACATCACTGAAAGTGAAATTAAAATCAAGACTTAAAAGTGAAAATTCTAATCGTATAGTACTTAATCAAGATATTTCATTGAATGTGCAAGATATTTCAATCTTGCTTAATCAATAAAAAAACAAAGGAAAAGAATGCAGGAAGAATATGAATTATAAAAAATCCAAGAAACACAAAATACAGAACAGACTGCACCGAGTTTGCTTTTCACCACCCCCACCATAAAGAAAGTGAATTTTAATTAATTTTATCAGAGAGTGGAATGAAAGAAAAAGGAGATTACAAAAAACTTTTGGTTCCAAACAAAAATTAATTTAAGCAAAACAACGCCCTAACATAGCTAGCCAGTAAATAACCACACCATGAAATATTAAAACAAAAAACCAACCAATTATGCACCTGGTACCACACAACACAAACATGAATATTTCTGATAATAAAAGTGTTAACTTAGTTTTAAAGGAATAATTTCTTCCAAGTGCCAAGAACAAAGGCTAAAATTGGGGAAGGCATTTTCAAGTCTGCGTGTTGCTGTGAAGACCAGATGGAGAAGAGGGATAATAAAATAAATAAAAGACACAATCATATCCAAACCATTAAAACACCATTGTCTCTTTCTCACAGTCTGCCAAGATATGTTCTACCCAAAGCATATTCCAATGGAAAATAAAAATATTTTTTCAAAGCATGTTCCAATGGAAAAGAAAAATATTTTTTCATACAAAAGCCTTGATGGTGGTGGTGGTGGTGGTGGTTGGGGGGGTAGTTGTGGTGGTGGGGTGACGGTGATGGTGGTAATGGTGATGTGGGTGGTGGTGCAATTCCAAACACTATTTTTAAAAAAAATATTTATGAAAAGTTGTAAGTCTTAAAAGTACTTTTAAAAAGTCATTTCAAATGTACTTTTAAGGACCTATTTTTCATATTAAATTTGGAAGGTTAATATTATCTTTAAAATAAAATTTAAAGCGATATCAACCGTGAATAACATAATTTATTTTGTTTATCTTTTGAAATTTGAATTGTATTGTATTTTATTATTTTGCTTCTTATTACCCAACCAAAAAGACATTCCATTAATAAATAGATTAGTAAACGTTGTGTTATAGATTTTACCATATGACTGGACAAATTAAGTGCAAACCAGGGCAGTCATAATCAAGAGAAATAAGTAACTTCAATAAGCATCAAACATCAACTTGCAGGCCAAAAAAAAATTAGGATATGTACATACAACATCAGTTCTCTGAAGAGCACGGCCAAATATGTACTTAGTTTTCTTCATGGTCTAAATATGTATTCTCATCATTGTGTTTGTGGGAAAATAATAATGAATTAGATCAAATGCAACTTATCAAATAGCTAACAGAGTTTGAGAGGGACAACTTATCAAATAGCTAGCATGAGTCTACCATACACATACCCAAACCCACCTTCAATAGATCAGTTGAGTAAACATTTAAGTCAAACAAATCCAAATCAAATATATCCATCTCAGTACAGAAATATCACTAACACATACATGTACTTGAATGTGTGCTACTCCTAACAAACTAATAACTTCGAATACAATAAATACGAATAGAATCTACAACACAGAGAAGAAAACACACAAAAACCCAAAAATATCAAATCAATTATAAAAAATAGAACTTCATGCTATAGATGTATGATCTATTAAAGTACAACCGAGTTCAACAAAAAAAAGTCCATCAACTGGTTACCAAACTATGGCAATAGTAATAACGCCAGTCAGCTAATTAGGCAACATTAAACCCAAGAATTAAGAAAGAGAAGATCATAAATTAGGCAGGTTGAAACTGAATACATTTTTGGAATTGATCGAGTAAATAAGCAAACATTTTTAATGGAATTACGCAGTTGAAATACATCAGTTCAGGGAAAAAAAAAAAACTGTTCAGGAAAAAAAACTGTTCAGGAAAAAAAACTGAACAGATGAAAAAAACTGTTCAGGAAAAAAAAAAAAAGATCATCAAAAGAATCGCAAAATCTCACAAAAGATTAACTCATTTCCAACCCGAATCAGTTGAGATTATTCATTCCAAAAAATATTTAAATCTACATAAGGAAAGAATCTACACTGGGCTGAGCTTGGTAGAAACAACTCGGATTTATTTATTCCAAAAAATATTTAACTCGAATCTACATAAGGAAAGAATCTACACTGGGCTGAGCTCGGTAGAAGCAACTCGAATTTATTCATTCCAAATTACTCTCTGTCTTACTCTCAGGCAGGGAAACACCCGAAAAGCTCAATAACTTTTTGCCTCTCACTCTCCCTTTGCCTCAATCACAGTATTACTCTCTCTCTCTCTCTCTGCGTTTTATGTGTGTGTGTTTCCTTTCCCTCTCGCGCGCATCAACGCCTAGCCCCAATTTTGTGTCGCCGTCCATGCGGGTTTCTAAATTTGGTTTTGCTTACTAATAAGATAGGACTCATTTTGAATCTTTTTCTACTTTAAAATTTAATTTATTTGGAAAAGCATAAGAACGGCTCAGATTAAATCCACTTTTAATTCAAAGGCCCACATTTTCATCTCATTTCTTCCATTTCAATCCAATGGCTTGCAATGCATCTCAACCCAAAAAAAAAATCCCGCCCATTTTGACAATATGCTAACTATACCAAATGGCCAAGTATTTCTATTTTCTACATATTATGGAACAATGCATCACTCAATAAAAGACAAAAATGAAAAGGACAAAAAAAATGGTGGATTCTTGCTCTTTGAATTAAGGAAGTTCTCCAGTTATTGTTTCTTCCTAGATTTGTGAGAGGACCTATAAGCAAAGAACCCAATTGCATTGGTTATGCCAACATTAATATGTTGGATCCAATATTAGCAACAACATACACCAAAAACATAGCAATTAAAGTTCATTAAAAGAATATCAAAGCAAAATGAAGTGTAGAATTAAATTGTACATATATGTATTTCTATTATCTGCTTATACGCTATCATCCGCCACATCGTCGCCCAATGACAGTCCTGCACGAAATGGTATTACTATGATAATTGCTATCATGGAAGAAAGATGAAAGCAAAGTATGACATTCTATGAATATGAAAGTGAAACTACTTAAAACACTCAAAATGGACATTTTATTTTCTTTTGTAACTATTTTTTTGAAGGAAAATCTATGGATATAAAATCAAAAAAAAGATAATAAAAGAAAAGGACAAACTGGGATTGCTCTTTTAGACAAAACAACTACTTTATATAAACCAGGCAATTGTGAAACCTTCAAGAAATAACATAAAAAAGTAAGATTCCCACCGCCATGAACAACTGTATGCTTCATGCTGACAGCTTTTTTAATTTTTTAAAATGCCAAATATAATCTCATCAACTACATATAATTACCCATTGCTGTGTTTTTTTTTTCATTCCCCATCTGATGTATAATGTAAAGATAGACATTTACCTGATGAAAACAAAACTGGGCACTCAACTTCCTAGATATTCGAACCAATCTATTTATCACATTGGCCACCTTGAATATGAGACCCTCTCATTTTCCCAAAATTGAAATGAAAAAGGAAAATTTCACAATTGATCACATTCAACTATAAATAGTCAATCAATGAGAGTCATTAAGCAGCGTGTGTTTCCTAAACCCCCCCTGTGTGTTCCTTGCATGATGCCATCTATAATGAGATTGATCATTCCTTTTATCCTTCAAATGCCAAAAAAATGATACTAATCAATTTCTCAACATGAAAGCATTACCTTTGCTAGTAGAATGAAAATGCTGCCAAGCTACCTCTATTATTGCTATTTCACAACCACTCTCTTCCTCCAAAGAAGCATCACAACATCAAATTCACTTCCTTCCAAATCCCAATAGTGTAAAACCACATTGGCGTAATGTACATACCAACAACCTCAAGGCGGTGAGCTTTCTTCGATGATTCAATTGAACCTAATACTTTGTCTAACATCAAACATAATACTTTGTCTAATTAAATGACGCTCAAATCTTCATATACAGAGAGTTGCATGGGTAGTTATTAAATTGGGTAAAATTCAATCGAAATAAATGACAATATAATTAACTGATTGAAAAAAAAACATATACAGAATCTAGCTGGGTCATTCTCTAACTGTTTGTTAAGATTTTATTATAAGAAAAAAAGAAAGAATTGAAATTAAAAAGAAAATAAAACCATAAATAGTTTAAAAATACCTTGCAATTCAACTATCCCAGGAGAAGCAGAATGTTGTTGTCAATGAAGGGTGAAACAAAGGTCTAAGAGCGAGAGAAAGTGCAGAAGAGAGCCAGAGAGTTTGATGGGTCTTTTCCTTTCCTTTTCTCTCTCTTTCTTTCTCTCCACTCTCTCTATTATACCTGTGATTCAATAGAAATGATTAAATCATGGCAATGAAAAACAAACATAAACATATAAAAAGAACCCAAAAGATATGTGTTTGAATTAACAGAAACTCCACCACATAAACAGGCAAACATTAGTTGTAATAAATAGAAATAAATAAGCACACACAAAAAGGCACCCACTGGCCAAGAAATTCGGCTTGAAAATTCGTTGAGCAGCTGGTGTGTAGGATGTTCGGGTGGGGTTACAACTTACAACAATGGAGAACGTATTGAGGAAGAGGAGATACGTGAGATACTTGATAGGTGTAAGAAGTGGCACTGGGAGGCCCGTTGTTGCTGGAGAGGGAGGTACCTGGGCTGAGCTTGGTGAGCCGCTGTGTGCCGCTGTGTTGAACGCCGTTGGTGTCGCTGCTGTGTTGATCGCCACTGTGTGCCGCTGCTGAGCCGGTGTCGCTGCTGTGTGCCGCTGCTGAGCCGTTGTGAGAAGGGTGTGGGTAGAGGGGTAAGGGGTCTGGGTTGCTGTCTGGGGTGAGGCATGGCAGAGGAAATGGGTATGTAGGGAAATGGGTGAGGCATGGCGGGAGACAGAGAGTAGCCGTAGGGGAATGGGTTTGATTTGAGGCAGAGAGTAAGTAACTGTGGGCGTGTGTTTGGGTTAAAAATGGGCGGGATTTTTTTTTTGGGTTGAGATGCATTGCAAGCCATTGGATTGAAATGGAAGAAATGAGATGAAAATGTGAGCCTTTAAATTAAAAGTGGATTTAATCTGAGCCGTTCTTATGCTTTTCCAAATAAATTAAATTTTAAAGTAAAAAAAGATTCAAAATGAGTCCTATCTTATTAGTAAAGATATTATCATGGTGTCAGAGTTGATGGATAGAAAAATAATAATTAACAACATAGAAGAATCTTACGTTGATTTGTGGTTTAATCATTAATAAAATAAGATGATGCACAACCATTCTCATGTAATGCTGCCGATCATGATATAAAATAACAGTCACAGTAAACAATGACATGGTGTGAATGAATGTCAGAATATAGAGCTTTAAATAATATAAAGAACTCAAAGGTCAGTATATATTAGGTCTGACCAAAAAAAAAAAACAAAAACAAAATGCTCAGTGTTAGGTCGGTCATTGTAATGTGGGTGGGTGGGGGTCTGAAATCATTAGCTGTCTTGTCAGCTCCTTGGAAGTATATATGTTAGGGTTATGGCTGTCTTTAAAAAACAGCCTACACCTATGCACGCTTGAATGGGTTGATGTGTCGTCAAATACACATAAGTAGGAGAATGTAAGCAGATTTGTCAGTATATATAAGTAGTTCTTATAATTGGGACCCCAGTTGGGATACATGTAGGCTACATCAGGGTGCTAAAAAGGTTCGTATTGTAAGTGCGGAGACAGAAATGGTGGAATCAATTTGCCCGATAAATATTATTTGAATTTAAAATATTAATATAATTTATTGACTTATTCAATCATAACCTTTAAATATGTAATGAATCGTAATAAATATTGAGATTTACAGTTAAATTAATAATAATTATTTAATTAAGTTTATAAATTAAATTAATATTTTAAATCTAAATAATATTGTTTGTTTTTTTCTGTGCCTTGCCATTTTTGTAGGTGTCTATGAAGACTTTGACCGAAGCACAGGACAAGAAAGTTTCCACGAAATTGTTTATTCGATGGTGACTTGTCTAGTCATGGAATTTAGCCATATTAATCTTTTGTTTCCTAGGTAGTAGTCATATGTGGTCTCCCAATGGATGTTTCTAAAGTTATGCCACTTTTTAGGTATGTGGAAAACTGTCCTTTTGTTTTTTGGTGAATTATGATTATTTTTTTGAATATTGTATCATTACAATAGAGTGATTTGTGTATACTGGGTTAGGATCTCTCTCTTGTGACTGTCAAGTTTTGTAAAAGTATAATGTTCCGTTTAGTACAATAAAAAAATAGGAGAATGAAAAGATAGAAAGATAAATAAAATATTATGTTTGGTAAGGAAGAAAAGTAAAAAGGATGAAAAAATGGATGAATTAACTTTCTTTTCAACTCACCAAAATCAATTTCTTTAAAATCGGAATGAAAGTGGATGAAAAATTAATTATTTGTGTTGAGATATATCTTATTTGTTTATATATCTTATGTATATATTAATTTCATATAAAAATACAATGGTAAAATATGTATATATATTTTAAAAATTTTAAAAATTAATTATAAATAAAAATAAAAAATAAAAGATAAAAGATAAAAAAAATAAAAAAAAATAAAAGATAAGAGATAAAAGATCAAAAAAAATAAATAAAAATAAAAATTTTAAATTAAAAAAATATATTTTTTTCATCTTAACTAAGAGTGAAAATTTTCGACTTAGCACGATAACACAACTCGAACTCAATACGAAAATAAATAGGTCAACTCATAATTCGACACGACACAATTAGTTAAATGAGTTAAATTATGTTTGACTAATATTCGACACAAATTCGTAATGACTTAACACGAATCTGACACGGCACGACTCGACTCTATTGTCACCCCTAATCTTAGCCAGTACCAAAAAAAAAATAGTAATTTTAATTTTTCATCCATCCAACTAAACACAAATGAAGGAAAATATATTCTTCTACTTTCCATCCTTGAAGGATAGAAAATGCATCCTCCTACTTTCCATCCTTCTTATTTTCTATCCTACCTACCAAACGGAGCATAAGATTCGACCATACTCCTAGTACCTTCCTTGCTCAAGACTCGAAGGGGTTGTTTGGTATGTGGGTTTGGAGGGATTTTGGAACATGGGTTGTAGACTAAATTCCCTTAAATCCATGTTTGGTAACTATAAATTTAGCCTAGGGTTTGAAATCTGGCCCGGTCATAAAACCCTAGTTCATGGGTTTCATGAAACCCATGGAAAGGATGGATTTCATATGTGGGTTTGAGGATTTCACATTCAAATGACATTTATATCCCTCATATATCCATACCCATGTTTGAATTAAATTAGTTAAGGAGCACAATAGTTATTTAAATACAAATATATATATCCCTGCGCATACCAAAGATGGGTATGGACAACATTGAATATTGAATCTCTTTTTTCAATCCCATCTTTGGTCGAACTCGGGTTTTGACAATCCAATCCAAATCTCTCCCAAAAAAATATACCAAACATGTCCGAAAGGCTCACAACGTACCTAATTAAGCCTTTAATTAATTAAATTAATGCACCCACTTTAAATCAGCATGCGTGTGACAACTTATCTTGATTATCTTGGAACACTCCACTAGGGTACTGCCAATACTAAAGGGCTCTACCCCCAGGTTACCCATGGGACACTTCAATTTATTATTAGAGCCCGGTTATCATGCTGAAATATCATTTTTCTGTAGCCTATCTTCAATTCTTACCTAATAAAAATACGTCATATATACAATTTTCTTATTCTATTATTTTTAAGCCGACGACCGTATTTTATTTAAATTGTATAATTCCCATGATTCAGTACTGAACAACAATTCGCTCCTGCGCGCGTAGATAGCGTTTTGATTCTAACTTCCATGACAGTTTGTCTCCACAAAAAGCAGAAACCTAATCACTTTGAATTTATAATGTCATTAAAGAAGACACAAGCCACAAGCATCGCTATAAAAGGTAGAAGCCAGTTTAAAATGTTATAGAATCCATATCAAAATTCAACTCTTGTGATTAAGGAGAAATACCGAAAGAGTGATTGCTAAAACTTCCTTCTCCACTTCTTACTACCATGGCCAACACAGCAAGACCAGCCTTCTTTAATAACGGACCCACAAACTTCTATGGAGAATTTAACGCTGTTTTCATTGATATAAGGTTCAATTTCTTGGAACAATATCATCGTACTTCCCCTTCGTACTATGCGATTCTCACTTTTATTGTTCCGACACTCATCAACCTCTTACAGCTGAAGTGCCAAGGAGACACCGAAACGCCATTTGAGACCCACCCGAAGACCATGTTGGTCGCCGTTACTAGTTTGCTCTTGCATTGCCTCTTGTATGAACTAAAGTGGAGATTTTTTTCAAAATTTCCATCTCCAACATATGCCGATATTGCCTGCCACAGTGCGACATTGTTTGGTTCATTGTCATTGGCATGTCTAATATCAATTTTGTTCTCGGACTTGATTAGGCCGGTTGTGTATACGGCGTTCATCATGCTTTCGGCGGGCAAATTGCTTCAATTGTTTTGCCTGATCAATTCACTGAGGCAGAGGTCAGAGGCCTTTACGCTCCAAAGGGGTAGACTTCCCGTGTAACTGTTCATGCACTCGGTCATATAAGTCACTGTAATGTATTGTAATGTCATTGTAAGTTGCTGTATTTTCATTCTCTTTGCAATCTCTATGGTGATATGATTGTAAATAACTATGAGATGGGCCTGCATTTATTAATATTAATGTTCTTTCCAAAAAAAAAAAGTGTAAAATAGCCCTCCTCACCGCTCCCTTTTCCTTTATCTCGGAAATAACCAAAAGTATCACGATGATAACAGTCACTATGAAAGAAAGATTTTTTTTGTTAGCATAACACTGACTTTCATGCCCAAGGCAGGCCCCATCAAATTGAGGCACTCTTTGATATTTATTACGATTGTTATAATATAGTAAATACAACCCATTCTTGTGGACACAGATAAAATTTTATTGAATTACATAAATATTTGTATGGCCCTCTGATTCACTTTCACAACCTGAGTGACATGCTGAGTCACGCTGTATCTCTCCACATGCGAATCTATAATTTGAGAAGAGAATGAATTCGTGATAAAGTTACGTTTTCAACCAATCAAATTTAAAAATTCAACAACGTATACGAAGGGGTTAAACCTCATGATTACAAGTGACACACCATTAAATGTACTTACGTAATGTTGATAAAACCAGACACGTGATAAAAGATTTTCTACTAAGAGTTTTCTAAAGCTAAATAGAGGATCAGCAATAGCTGAAAAAGATTGTTTTTCTTCATGACCAAGCTCATCAGTCTGTTTGGTTAAGCTATGAAAGAGCTCGGCTTTGGCTTGGCACAAGCCGAGTCCATTAAAGTATTCAGCAAGTTAATTGAAGAGATCGGTTTGTGCCAAACCAAGTCCCTTAATCTGTTCGGCTAATATCAAGTGTGCTCGGCGTCTGATATGTCCAAGCCGCTTTAGATAAACAGAATGATAAAAAGACGCCTATAACCTAGGCAATCAGATAAGCGAATCAAAGAAATTGAAGATATTAAGATAAATAATAGAGAAATATCAACAACTTCCCAAACTGAATGATTGAATTGAATGAAGGTGTGCCACCTTGAACCTAAATTCATGAAAACACTGAGGGATGAACGATCTATAAAAAACATAAGAGACCAAGTTGAAAGGTACGCTGAACCCTCCTTGTCTTCTTTCATTCATTTCATTATCCTTACTGACTTAAGCATAAGAGTGACTTCAATTGAAGCACTTCGATCTTGGGGCAGTATGTTGATTTTGCAGGAAGAGGAAGATTGGGAGATCGGGTTCAGGATCCTATATCCATTTCAATTCTAATATGAGATAATCTCAATTTTTTGCCTCTTAC